CAAAAAGGACATGACTTTTTTTGTTGTTGTTGTTGTTCTGTTCATTTTTTTTTTTTTTTTTTTTTTTTTTTCCCCAAAGTCATGTGCTGCTTTCCTACTAGCGCTGTTGGCTCCGGAGGCCTCTCTTGCAGCAATGTAAACACAGCTACTGTGTGTGCTCCATCAGAGAGAGTGTCGGTCCCCGTAATTGCAGCCTGTAGTTCACAATGAGGCAGCCAGTGCCAATAGATGTATAATGAGCATTTAAAAAGTGCTTATTTTGTCATCCAATCATCGATCATCCTCATTGTGTAAATATTTTTTTGTTTCCACAACAAAATTACTTTAAAATAAATGTTCACCAGGAAGAAAGAAAAATTTGATTCTGCTGATAAAATCAGGACAGTCAAAATGATTCATATGACATTGGGGAAAGCTTGCAAATCAGGCTTAATTTCTGTGACAAAAAGACCTCGTGGATTCATCAGTGCTTGGTTGTGCCTGGAAATTCAGTGGCAGCTGGAAATTTGATGGTGACCTCTGATAAATGAGAAAATGGTGATGGTTTTAATGAATGACTTGAATAAGAAAATCAGTAATCCACTCTGTGCGGTATTCTTTCTGATATTTGTTTTGCTATTAAGTTCAGTTAATGCAGTTCTCATTGTGTCATGATGATGGTGTTGACAGCACATCACGACATACGAGCATTGCTGGCAGTTTGGCTGGCAGGGAAGGGGATACATGGCCTTCGACACAGAAGGTAGAACAGCATTTGGGAAAAAAAAAGCATTTGGAAGGCTTTGGCAAGGCAACATCAGAGCTCATAAAGATAGAAAGGGTCCTGGTGAGCAATAAAGATAGAAAGGGTCCCAGTGAGCATCTTTGTTCTCCTCTGCCAAACTGGCCACAAGACCTACATGAATTCCTTTCTGTTCAACTTCTTTCTTTTTTGGAGGAGAAAAATTTAGTCTTGTTTTACATCTAGAAAATGGGGATGGGGAAAGGGGGCTTTAACCACAGACTTTGGAAAAGTTGTGCTCATGGTTGATTACTTTCCTTGCTAAATTGTGAAGTTTGTTCTTAGCCTCAGTTTATTAACTTGCAGTGTTTATTCCCTGGATCTTGTATCCTTGCTGTAAGGTTTAGGAGCATTTGTTATGAAACGTTGATTTCCCATGTGAGTATTTATAGACTATGTTTGAGTTACCTGTTAATCTTTCTCTGGGTAAAACCAAACTAAGCTACTTGTTTCTCTGACTATAAGGCACATTTTGAAGACCTTGTTCATTCTCAGCTTTTCCAGTTCAGTGTCCTCCTTCTCTGTTCTAACACCAAGACTACATTCATACTCCTGGTGGTAGCCACTGTGTGTGTGTGTGTGTGTCAGTGAGCCTGTACTTGCCTCTGGAAGCTGTCCCAAACCCTGTCAAAGGCAAAGCCATGATTGCCCAGCTTTTAGAACAATAGGGGCTGTATAAAAGCTGTTCTTCATTCAGAGCATTGCAGTTGATTAAAACCTCGAGTTTTCAGTCTTTTCTAGTTTCTGGTGCCTTCAGTGTTTTCCAGGGAAGGTAGAGCAAATTAAATAGTACAGCCACTTTTCTTGGTTATCTTGCAGAGCCTACTTAGATATAATTACCCCAAGGATCCCCAAGTCAGAGGCTGGAAACCTGTGAGCTAAAACACACACAGAGGCAATGCAAAAGGCACCATGCTGATTTTTTTTCTTAAAGCATATTCAGTGCTTGGGTGACCATCCCCGTAAGTCTTCCCAAGTCCCTGCAGTTCATCCAGACAGGCTGTAACTAGAAGGCCCATGAATCAAGAGAGAGTTGGAGTAATCCCTGAACAACCTTGACTAATGCCATAATGCACTAATGGCAACTTTTGGAGGCTCTTTCATACAGTATAACGTTCAACCTTGGTCCTTTAACTAAATTTATTTTGGGTGTCATGAATGCAAAATTGCTTATCTGGCGTAGAAGCTCCTGTTAGACTTTTCAGAAGCAATTCAGATGTTTGTGGTGGAATTCGTAAAGGGATAGAGATGCTTTGTTTCATTTGAATTTGGTGGGAGTTAAGTGCTTAATTACTTTTACCGACCTGAGCTTTTGCTTAGCCATCTTTGCAGTGTTATAGTGCTCCCATGCTCATATCCCTTTAGCCCCTTGGCTAATGGAAACACCTTTTTTTTTCCCAGAGGAGAGAGAGAACAGAATATGTGACTGTATCTCAGTCACTTTAGTGCAAAGTCTACTCGGTTGGCTTTAAGTGCCGAGAGGCTGATCTAAACCTCTTGACTCTCCAGCAAAGCAGATGAAGGGCAGACATGTTTTCCATGCAGTGGTTAGCTACAGGGATTGTAATGACTGGTGAAGCAGCAAAACAAACTTTTGGGGCCATCTTAAACTGAAAGTTTAGATATTAATGCTTGAAGGTTTTTTGTTTGCTGGTTAGATTTGTTGTGGGGTTTTTTTTGTTTGTTTATTTTTTGTTTTGTTGTTGTTGTTGTTGGGGTTTGTGTGTGTGTGTGTGTGTGTGTGGTCTGTTTTTTAATTTTTTAATTTTTTTTTGTTTAAATTAAAAGGACTTAGATGCTTAAACATTTTGTTCCTCTTTATGCCAGCTTGATCTCACTGGTTCAGTACTTTTGTGCCCAGGGACAAATATGCACAGGAAAAGATACTTATTTTTAAAATACTTCTTCACACAAAAAGTATCCTGAGGTCCCTTCATATCATTACCTCAAGTAGAAAAATCCATCAAACAAAACATTCACTCAATCCCTTTTAATCATATGAGCAAAGCATTTTACCGTGGCCAATTGAACAAGCATATAAAAAGAGAGATGAAGAGAAATCAGCACAGTAGAGGGAAAGAAATTACTTTCATCTGGGAGGGAGTAGGAGAGCAAAGGGAGGTTTGGGTGAGAAAGCTGCGGTGGAGAAGATTTATTCACTGAGGGGCTGTGGTAGGGAAAGAGGAAGAGCAGATGCTGTGCGATCAAGGGAGACCCGGAGGGGAGCAGGGGAGGACTTGGTCTGTATGATGTGGTGGATTTTGAAGATCAGGAGAGGATATTTGATACGGTGCTGCAAACTTCCGTGCTGGGGGGAAGAGCAGGAGTTAGACCAGAAGAGAGCTGAGATTTCTTTCAGGAGAGGTAGACAAAGAACAAAGACGTCTTTTTTTTTTCATCAGCTTTGGCTAAGAAAGGGATGGGGGGGACAGGAAGATTTAGAAGACAGAACTGCTGGCAGACTCTCTGTAAAATTAATTAGCAGATCTCACCTTATTTTCTATGTTCAACAACAAGCCAGAGAGGAAACGAATGGGTTTATTTTAAAGTAATTTTCCCACCAACATATTTGCTTTCTAGAAAGATAGTAAAGAAAACATTGGCATGCCAGGCTTGATGGGATCCTTTGTTTCCTACAGTGTGGTCATTTACCCTTACATTGGACTTCATATTTCTCCAGTCAGTGCAGCAAACTACTCAAACTGTGGAAGGATGTTTACTGTTTAGAGAAGTCCTCAGCAAACTTTGCCTTGTTTCTCTGTTCAAGAGCCAACAGACTTTGCTCAATCAAGGTCTGGTCAGCTGCTGCTGCTCAAATGTTGTGTGAGCAGAGCTAAACATTTTTAAGAATATAAAAAAGTGACAAGATAACTCCAGCCATTTTGGTTGGGACGAACCAGGTGTTTGTCTAGCTGCATAGTAACAGAGGAAAGAGAAACTACCTTAAAGACACATTTATTTGTGCTATTTCTTAGTCTGAAACTAAGACAAGCAGATATAAATGATTTGCCTTAAAAACTTTAAGACTTATAGCACCTCTGTGAAGCTACTTCGTTACCCTTCAAGTTATACCTTGTTCTTCACCTCAGGACACATCAGGATATGAACTGCTAATGTCTATAGTTATACTATATATACAGTCATTCTCTCTCAGGCTTGACCTAATGATGATCTATAGGTGCTATGACAGTATTGATATTCTATAATCATAGCAGGATAAGAAAAATTTCATCTGACAGTGAAATGCCACTATCTGGGCTGTAAAATATGGCGGTATATAATAATATATGCTGACAGCTACCCTGAGTAAACTGCCTTTTTCTCAGATGAAATTTGACCAGGAAGCTTGTGGGTAGGAAGACTTCTTCTGCAAAATGATTGGAAGATTTTTAACGATTCAAGGTAATTAAGGGTCTGTTTCCATTTCTGCTGGTGTAGGACATGATGAAATGGGGAAGCCCCTCTACCCTTTTGTTCCCCCTCCCCAAGTTGTCAAACATGAGAAGGGGCAGGAAGATGTCTTGAGAGTGGCGAGTTAGGAAAATGATGGGTATCGACAGCCTTGGAGGTGAGGATCAGGATCTGCAATTTAAAATGGTAGAGAAGCATATTTCTCCTTACCAAGTAGGGGAGTTGGCATAGGAAAGGCGGAGGGGTTTTGGATGGGTTAGGGGTTTAGTCCCTGACTCTTGTCCTGCACGTCCTCTGTCAAATTACTTTGTACCTCACTGTCCCACCTGGAAAATGTAACACACCCCCCCCCCCCAACCTAAAGTTCCCATTAAAATGAAGCACAGGCTGGTGTAAGAGAGAGACGGCACAGAGTTAAAACAACCAAGTGTCCTTCAGTTAAAAAAAAAAAACCGGGGACTTCAGAGGAACCTGAGCTGTGATCTCACGCTCGGCCTCCGTGATGTCAGCCGGCGCTGCCGGGATCCCCGCTCTGGGCTCGCTGTTAAAAACCACGGGCACCCGGGGGGGGGGGGGCGCATTTCCCCGCCCTCCCCACGGCCCCCTCGGGCCCCCCTCCCGCCCCCCGTCCTGCCCTCGGGGGGCCCGGCCCCCCGCTCCGGGGCTGCCCCGGGGGCGGGCCGGGCCGGGCCGGGGCGGGCCGGGGGAGGGCTCGCCCGGCTCCGGCGCCCCGGCCCGGCCAACCCGCGCCCGCCGGGGCTGAGCCATAAAAGCGCCGGGAGCCGGCGGGGCCGCGGCTTCAGCTGGCGGCAGCCGTGCCCGCCGCGCCTCGGGGTGGGCAGCCCGGCTGGCCCCCTCCTGCCGCCCGGCCTCCCCGGGGACCCTCCCTCCCTCTTTCCCTCCCTCCCTCCCTCCCTCGCCGCCCCCCAAGATGCTGTTTTGGCACACGCAGCCGGAGCACTACAACCAGCACTCGACCGGCAGCTACCTGCGGTGAGTTCCCGCCCGCCCGGGGGGGCCCGGCGGCCCCGGCACGGGGGGGGCGGGGGGAGCGCTCGTCCCCCGTCCCCGCAGCCGCCCGCCGGGGTTGGCTGCTGCTGGCCCCTTCGGCGCAGAGATGGGGGCTCTTTTAATTTTTTTTTTTTTTTTTTTTTTTTTTTTTTAAGCGCCGAGTTAGACAACAATCTGCAGTTTTGCTTTATTGCTTTTGCCGGCTTCCCTTCTCTCAAGGGCTTGGGTAGCGCAGTTCAAAGGGAGAAGGTGCGGCAGTTGCAAAGTGCTGTCAAAAGGCTGTGGGAAACCTGTGTTGGCAAATGAAGTGGGCATCCAGTTTTAGTTTTCTCAGGATGGGGTTTCTTTCTCTCCTTTTTAGGACGATGGGTAAAAAAGCTCAGAATTTCACTTTCTGAACTTGTCTAAACCAGCTTTTTCCTGCCTCCACACAGTTGCGTTTAATTAAATGTGCCTAATTTAAGCACAAGGGCTGCTAAACAATAGTCTGTAGCATGTGTAGCACAAACCCGTATTTCCTCCCTCCAAAAGACAACAAAGTGGACAACTTTGGGAGTTTCCTTTCTGCTGGGTGCTTATGATTTTTTTTTTTTTTTCTGAATATGTAAAGCTGATCTCTCAGCTGGTGTCGATTGCTGCTGCTCCACTGAAGTGCGATTTTGCTGAATTGCAGTGGTGGAGAAGCTGGCTGTGGCCCAAGAGCCTGGCTTTCAAAATGTACCCCCAAATAACCACTGTTGAGAAAACATTGAGTTTGTCCCGCGAAGTGCTTTGAACACAGACAATACTTCCCTTTCACAGAGACATGCAATCTTAACTATTCCTGCTCCCTATCAGTGTTTTTGTAAAGGATTTTTTTTTTTTTTTTACTAATTAATAACCTCCTGTTATCAAATGATACAATATTGTGAGATTCATGCTTCCTGGCAGCTTCTCTGCTTCTTCATCCAAGGTTATTCACCTCCTCCCTTCATCCTAGTAAGTCTGTTTTGACAACAAAAGTTTTGTTTTCTCTTGCTTTGTGCTTGCAAACCTGGTTAGTTTAGGGCAGTGAGAACGTAGTAGCAGAGGAGCATCAGCGTTGGCACTTGTGCATACTGCCTCTGCATTAGGGAGCATTTATGGCGCTCAGGCTGTTTTGTTACTTCCGTGGATTTGTAGTTCACCAAGCCTGGGTCAGGCTTGAGCCTACTATTCAAATTCATCTACTTGGCCAGAAAACACATTAGATTATTTTTGCTGGCTTGATGCTAGCTGGGAGGATAAAGGACACCTGGTCTGACAGGAAGGCTGATAGTATGAAGGTAATCTGTTAGTGTTTTAGGAACAAACTCTGGCTTTAATGAGTATCTGTCACAGTGACTGTGGTGTTTTTGATCTGGGACTAAAAGCCTTAAAACCAGTTTTATGGTAGCAATGGCCTCGGGTGTTTCAGAGAAGTTGAGTTGAATAAAATCCTGGTTTTTTTTAGGGACCTCTAATTCAGGCCAATTCACTCTCCATGGGAATGTGTTGACATGCATTTCAAGAGGGTCATTTTTCTGTTGAGCTGTGCCTTCTTGAAAGTTCCCCATACCTCTTTGTAGCGACTCTACAGAGGAAACTGAAATAGCACAGTCCTTGAAATAGCCGTAAGGAAAAGTTTGTATCAACTGTATTTTGAAGAGGAAAAAGGCTTTATGGGTATCTGAGACATCTGTGTAAATTCTGCTGTACTTCAGTGGTATTTGTAGTTATAGCAAGACAATACTACAGAAAGCTCCTCATAAATCTTCATTAATTTTTATGGAAACCCAGTAGGTATTTTACTGTTCTGTCAGCTGACTGAACTCTCAGATACTTGTGAAGGGAGAAAGTTAGGCAGACTAACTGTTGGTTAAGATCAGAACTGTAAAACTTTAGTGTAAAGCTGAAACTTGGCAGAGTTTTAAGGGTGTTGGCCCCCCCCGCCCCTTTTCTTTCCCCATAAGGATGGGAACTGTTGTAAAAGCCTGCTTTTTACAAAACTTGATTTGCAAATCTTGAGTGAAGAGAGCTGAAAAAAATATTGTGATGTCTTATATAGGGTATATACCTATAGCTTAGAAATTATTTTACGCCTTGATCTGTTGCTCACATCTTTCTAAGTTCCAAACACTTTTAATAAGGTAAAATGTTTGAGAAGGGCTTGATCCAAAGAAAAGGATATCACCGACTGTTAGTTCAAATGCTATAGGAATAAATATGAGATTCACTTGTGTGGCTTCATCACTGCTTTAATATGGCAAAGCTTTCCAGAAACCAAATCACGGATTCCTCCATGCTTACAGTCTTCAACAGATAGCTGTTCTAGCAAGTAGTAGCGCTGTTAAGAACTTGAGGTGAAATACAATATTTGATTTTTGACTTCCCCTTGTCTATATTTCTCAACGGTTTCAGCTGAATAGGTGTAAAAATTCCACACTCTTAACTGTTAAACCTGGGCCAGATTTTGTGCGCTGTTTTCTGCACAACCACAGAAGCTTTCAGGCTTCGGAGTTTTTCAACCTGTTCTCATCTGTAAATCAACGCTCATTCCAATAGCATTGTGCAGACGGGTGTGCTAAGAGCAAATGTTGGCATCCAGGGTGAGTGGAGCAGTATCAGATCCTCTGTGTGTTTGTGGAGCAATATTATCTATTTCAGAAATCTACTGCAGGCATTTCTGTCACTTCATTACTGTAGTAAATCATCATCACTAAGGGGGAAAAAAAACCCCAACCATCTCTGTCTGCAGTTAAGCAAGAACTGTGATTATGTCAGTAATGCCAGTAAGCAAATGGGGCTGGATGCCTTAGAGCTGGTAATATGGACGGGGTGGGGTTAGAAGAGAGGATGGAAACAGAGATGGGTATTTATTTTTCTGCTGTCTGTATCTGAAATGGTGCAGTTTGCTCTCTGGCTTTATTTTGCCATAAGTAGGAGTACCTGTGTTTGAACCAGGCACTTCATTAGTTTGCTATAAACTGCTGCACCATTTCACTCAATCTGGTTAGCCTTCAAGGCTGCAGGTGCTATGTGTGAACGCAGGGTGGATCATTAACTGAACAGGCAAGGAAAAAATTCTTAATGCTCTTTCCATAGGGAGCATGCCTGTACATGCTGGCATGTTCCTGAAGAGTTTTTCTTAAAGCATTTTGTATATGAGATTGCTGAAAGAAGCAGAGCTGCAGCCTCTGTAACGGGAATCTTGAGTCCTCACACATCTGGAGGAAACAGAGAAGAAAAAAGATCACTTCTTATTATGAACTGTCTGTGTTCAACATAATCCTCCAAATCTGGAAGGATATTAATGCCTTAAGTAGGTAGACACAATGATCAGAAATATTAGCGACATGGGGAAGGCTAATATGGTTCTTCAGTATCAGACATGCTGAGATAAGGATGCTTATTCCTGACATCTTATTTTGTACTAATCATTCTGTTGTGCTCTCACCACTGCTAATACCCGTTCTGCTTGGGGATTAGTGTGGCTTGGGATCAGTCTGACACTAAATCAGCAGACAGGTTAGCATGAACATTTTGTAAAGGAGCGAGGACTGGGACTGTGTGCAGGTCCTAATGAAGCTGCTCCTGAGCACCTGTGTGTGTGCTTATGAAGGCAGCACAGTGCTGATTTAAGAACTATACAATTCCCTGGGACGAGGTTTATTAGAGTGCAAGGAGATGTTACGGGTCAATGAATCCAGAAGTTCATGCCATCATTTACCTGAATATCTCTTTTTTTTAATACCAGAGCTGTGTCTGCTCCTCACCCTTGGCTGCTGCTTGAAGACATTTTACTAATCTGACATTCAGCTGTCAAGATAAAGTGCCCTTTCTTGCTTTTTTTTCTGAAAGGCTTTCATCTGAGAACCTAGGGACTCTTAAACAAATGTGCTTCCACAAGAATGAAGAACCTATTTTTGATATTTCTTTTCTTCATCAGGAAGACTGCTTAACTGAAAAGTAAATCTGATTTATGTTTAAAAACATAAATTAATTATCAGAAATATTCTGTTTTGCTAATGATGTGTTCTTTCTTTTATGTCCAGTAGTGACATCTTAGATGCAGAAGTTGCCTTGTTACATTATACGGACCAAATATTTCTTTTTTAGCCATCATAACTCGGTGTTTTACTAGAGACCATCTCTATCTCAGAGCATGAGAATCGAGTGCAGAGTGAGGCTAGGATATTCCGTAAAGTCTTTGTAATTAAATATGTGTGAATTGTATGTTGCAGAGATGTCCTTGCACTGCCGATCTTCAAGCAGGAAGAGCCGCAGCTGTCTCCTGAGAACGATGCCAAACTGCCACCCTTTCAGTACGTCCTCTGCACAGCCACGTCGCCTGCTGTGAAACTGCATGAAGAAACCCTGACCTACCTCAACCAAGGTAGGGTTTGTACTGTACTGGAGGAGTGCGTATATCCTGGGAATAATTCATGAGAGAGAGAGAGATTTAACGTCATACTTGTTCCTTACTGGGAGGGCAGCGGGATGGGAAAAAGAGGGATAGAGATGGGGAGGGGGATGGAGGACAGGAGGAATACTTAATTTTTCACATTTTTATACCAGATTGTCAACTGTTATAAAATAATGAGGTACCACTGATTTAACTGTTGACTTAAAGCAGTGTTGTAGCATGCACAGATCCCTGTGGCCAGGTATTGGCTTGATCTCAGACAACTTAAACTGCAGCCTCCTACCTTCATCTTAAAAGACCAGATTAATTAAATAGATTGGCGAACTTGGGGTTGGGGAGGGCTCTTAACATTGCAAGTCCCCACAGGCTGCTGGAGGGCAGTGCCAGAGGATGAGCTAGCAGGTGTTCAAGGGCTTCGGGCTCCGGGCAGTGTGTGACATTGCTCCCACTGGCTGGGTGATGTGGCTCAGCTCAGCCCCTAACCTGACAAGTTGCTGGGTTTCAATGCAGCAAGGTCCTCTATAACCGACCTCATAGACTAATTTTTACTCCTGGATAAACAAGCACTGTCTTTTTCTTTAGGTTTTCCATACCACCCCCAAACCCCTAATCTACCCCCCTCTTTAGCAGAATTCGTGCAGACACATCTGTGGCTGGAGTTTGGCTGTCACTTTACGGCACCCCCTGCTCATGGGTCCCGGGGAGGGGATCAGGCCCCTCCAGGCACAAATTATGCTGAAAATTTCAAACGCTTGTTTTCTGCCAGGTTGTAAATAAGGGCATTAGCCTAGCAACAAGCTGAGGGCTGTCTGCTCTGTTACTGAGATCCTTTCCTGCTTCAGGACACTGTCCCAGCTCTTTAAGCTTTGGGCACTGAGCACGAAAGCTCGCTCAGATGCCTCTCTGGCTAGATTTCTCTCAGTGCTTGTACAAAGCAGAGCCCTGACCTCCCTTGGACTCTGACCTTGGGTGCAACTGGCTGCTGGATCTGCGATGCTAGCTGGTAGAGATCCATGGAGCCCCCATAGAAAGATCAGCTAAGTGCTGCAGGCTAACATCACAGATGTTTCTGGCACTGTGTTGTCTCCCAACATCAAAAGATGCTTGATATTTGTGACTGCATTTTCCCAGCAGACTCCAGGAGGTGCTACAGGGCGTATCAAGAGTGAGATGGAGATGAATCTTCCTGTGAAACATTTTCATGTTTCAGAGTAAAATATTTTCTGTTGTGAAAAGCAGTTGATGGCTAAATATTTTAGCACACATGAGGCAGTGCCTGCTTTTTTACACTTGTAGGACAAAACTTAGCTCTTTACATAATACCATGAGTTTTAAAAAACTGTGTGACTAGAGCGGTCTGTGTTTTCCTATGCAAATTAAGACTCACTGCTTGTGCAGATAGATCGTGTTTTGTTAGCCTTTCTCTTCCGTACTATTGCAAGGAGTTGTCTTCTGCTCCATCTTGACACATTACTGACCACTGACAGACCACCAGTTCTTGGATATCTTCTGCATCTGTCTTTTATCCCTCAAGGGGGAAGGTAGGATGTGTCCTTGCAGAATATACCCTGGAGAGCATGAGACTGGACAGGCCTGGAGGAACAAAGCAGGGATGAGTCTGGCAGAAGCTGTGCAGTGAGGCGGAGTTGGGAAGAGGCTGGGGGAATAAGCAGGCACTCCTTAGTGCTTCTGGCTTGTCACAGTGGATGGAAACAGCACCTTTTCCTAGAGGTTCTTCAGGGTGATTAGTGGTAAAAAGTGGTGTGTCTCCTGAAAGTTGAATGGTTCACTGCTTTCTGTTCCTCTTGGCAGGAGCTCCGCATCTGCCTGCCACCTGCTCCAGAGCATCCTTGCCTCATTTATTTAAGCTTGAAAGCAATTTGTCTTCTGCTTTGCACTGAGATGCTCTGGGTTTCATGAAAAACCTCTTGAAATTCAAGGATCTCTGTAGGCGGAATTTTTTTTTCTTGAGATCTTGCAATGTACCTACTTTAAAAGCCATTCTGCTCCACTCCAGCAGGTTGCTTTAGAGTCCACATCATTTGCTGCATCCTTGCTCCCAGCACTGACCCTTTCTGGTACCAAGGGCAGGCCTTGAGAGTAAATTGGTCTGAAATGTAGTCTATTTTGATACTAAGTCCCTTAGACCAAAATCCCTTGCCTGTGCTAGTTAGGAAGGAAGGACTGGAGTCTGCTCCCATGTGAACATGAGCTGCTGTGAGAAGCTTGTGGGTTCATTGACGATAACTACAGCTATGGGGAAAAGAGGATGCTGGACACATGTTTCAACCAGCTATGGTCAGAGCTGGGAAGTCTAATTTCTATTGGTGGGCTATCAGTGAGGACACTACTTGGGGTTAAAGAGAGATGACGATTTGTCTTGCAATTCCAGGACAAAGAATCAATTAGAATTGGCAGGTAACCTCCCATTTCACTTAGATGTTTCTGTTTAGGAACTTCTACATAGAAGGGTATTTGGTCTTTTTCATGATATCTGTGTCAAAAGCATGTTCGATCCGCATTGACCTTCTGGAATAAAAAATAGGAGGTGTGTCTATTTGGAAACAAAAAATTAAGTCAAATTTTATTCTCCTTTCAGCATTGCTTCTTTGTGGAAAACACTTTTGATTCTTGAGCTATATATTTTCCTAGCAGGTACCTGCTGTGTAGGTGTTTTCCCATCTCTTCTCCAAAACCAGAGGAGAGTGCTGCAACTCTTTGCTTTGACCTGATCAACACAAGCCAGCAAATCTCACCCAGGTGCTGCCACACTGATCTCGACTGTCCTGCTTGAGCTGGAGCTAAGTGCAAGTTGAAGGTTCTGACAGAAAATTGATCCTATTAATAGAATTATGTTGTATGAGCCTGAGAAGGCATGTCAAGGGGACCTTGAGGCATCCCAGGTTTCTGGAGCCAGTACTCATGGCATGTCAAAAAGCTGACTGACTTCAGAGCACTGTAACCCAGCTGCAGTGCCATAGCCATCTCTTGAAGCAAATTAGATCATTCTCTACACCTTATTGCCTTATGCTGACTGTAAGCAAAGGGACACCTCTTGTACCTTACCCTCTTTTTGTGCTTATCATGGTCTGGCCAAACACTGTTACATAAAACTTCCCTTCTTCCTTGTATGCTTGAGATTTGTGATGGATTACTTTAGCAAATGGGTAACTCCATTAATGGATGTCCCTCTAACCTGTCTGCACTGGTGAGAGCATCAGTCATAGCTGGCTCCTAGTAGGGCATACACAAAGACACAGTGGCTGTCCCAGCTCCAGTAAAGCAATTCACATCCAGCGTGATTGCTTACCCAAATTGCGAGGACTGGGTTTGGAGTTTTCTGCTTGCTGGGTGACTCTTGCCACTTGCTGTCAAAATGTTCCTTCCTGACTTGAGCTCTTCACCATTCAGTAACTGACCTTTTTTCACAGTGAGGCAGCTCTGCTTCTACTCCGAGACACTTATTCCACACGTGACTGGTCCAGTGATGGTCTGTGTGCAGAATTGGATAAAAGATATGTCAGGTCTGATAGAGCTATGGAGTGGGGAAAGCTGGAGGAACTGGGTAGTAAACTGAAGGCCAAGTTTCATAGCAGAGGTTGAGGAACTAGTGGAGAGATTCAGGTGAGATCTGAAAGGGTTTCAGATGGTCTAGGAATAATGGTTGTCCAGTGGCTGTGTTTGTGTACAGACAGGAGAGGGATGGGAGAGGGCTTAAGGATTGTGGAGCATAATAAGTTTTCATAAGCCTTGCTTCTTGCTGGATAGACCCAGAGAGCTGGTCAGTGACATTGAGGAAGAGATCTTTGGCCTGGGCTCTTCACAAGGGTGACGGAGGAAGCTGAAAGGACCAGTGTTTTCAGCAAGGGCAGGGGAAGAATTTGTGAGGGAACATAAGGGAGTGAGCTTTACTGTTGTGTTAAGTTGACTTGGGGACATTCAGCAGTGGCAGGCTCCCAGGCTTATCTGCCCCAGTTTGAAACCATGAGTGCTCTCTGGCTGCAGCTCTAGAACCATCCTGTAAATGAAGTAACTAGAGTCAAATCCTTAGCTTGGTTTCCAAAGACTGACTCATTACACTTGTCTTTCCTGATCTCTTCCCTCCCTGCCTTCCCACATTCCTTTGTAAACTGGATCCAGAGCCCTGCTAGCCCAAATTGAACATGATCTTAGTTTGCTAATCCTTAAGGCAGTTCCTACATTGAGACCTTTACTGGACCTCAGGAGGATTACTCATCCAATGGGACAAAATATAGGCTTATTAGTATGGTGTCTTAACACCACTCCACCTTCAGTCCATGAAACTGGTAAAGGTGATGTCCTCACATTAGGAGCTGCTTCTGGCATCACTCCTTTGCTCAGGGATCATGTCTGTCAACAGATTTAGTGTCCAGAAGTCTACAGCACAAACATCGCCTAACGTTTTTGGAACAACCCGCCTTTTAGCACTATTTCAGTGTCTCTTGTGGATAGGGATTTTCAAACAAACAATCAACCAGCAACCATATTACAAACCACTGCTTTAGCAAGAGGGCTTGATGCAGTTGCATATTCCATGGTCTGCAGTCATATGGGGTGTGGTTTGACCATGGCTGGTTGAAACTAGTTTTGAACATGGACAGAAATGGGAGCAATGAAGGTGGTTCCAGAAATCGCACCAGGAGGAATGTGGAGGAAACAAGCACTGTACAGTAGATCTGAATGTTAACAAATGTGAGGAAATAAAATCATTCCTTTAAAAAACAAAAAGCTGAAAAACACAAAAACCTGAAAGTCATTGCCCTAGGGAATCAGCTTGTAGTGCCAGAACCACATGTAGACTGTGAGTTATTCAAGTCATGATTTTGTTTCATGACCAGCCTTGGGTTGGCTCAGAGCCTCAGATCTAAATTACTCTAAAGAGGGTGGTTAAGGTTGATGGCAGAGGGTCACTGAGAGCAGGCTGTGTGACAAATCCAGCCCTGTCCCCC